AAAGTTCATACTGCATATTGTACGTATGTACGTGTGATAAATTCAAAAGAAATGCAGTTTGTAATTAAAAACGATACCGAAATTGCATCCGCTCTATCAAACCTAACATTAATGAAAAAGAAAGCCAAAAAAAACTACTATTTGGGGAAGTAGATTCCTTGGTAATTAATAAATCTTCGAGTCTGCCCCTCCAATTTATTACTACATTTTGTTGGAGTGAAAGAAAAAGAAAAACACAGAGCCTAAAAAATAGAGGGGGAATGGGTTGTTTTCAAAGATTTTATTAATTTCTCTTTCCATGTAGAGTGGTCTTCAAACTGCATCACCTACCTACCTATTATCTAGCTTTTCTACCTATAAATCCAACTTCAACGTTTCAAAGCTTTTATATGGAATGAAATTAAAAGTACTATATGGGTTCGGGTTCAATTTTCTTTACGTCCAAAACATATACTCCCTCTGTCTCAAAATTATTATCCAGTTTGAGATTTCACTTTTAATACAATTTGAACTAGAAATGAAAAACCAAACTGGACAATAATTATAAAATGGAGGGAGTACGAATCTAGGATCAGCAAAAAAAAAAAAAAAAAAATTGGGAAGGAAAAAAAGAAAGAAACTCACCTGAGGACTGAATGATGATGACAAGTTTTGGTAGATTATTACATTGGGATGTAGAGATCGTATATATATTAAAAAAGAAAATTAGTAGGACGAAGAAGTCGAAATATATGCACATATGCTCCTTCTACGTACTGTTAATTGTGTAGCTAGCAAGTTATTAGTATGAAAAACGTTTGTGCAAAAAAATATATATATAATTAAATGGTCAGTCAAACTCAATTTTTAATTTGCTGTATAGATAGCCCTATTGACCACCATTTTTCTAACTTGAGAAAAGTAAAGAGGTACTGCATAAAATTTCATCTGAGGATGATGATCCCAAACACCAAAGAAATAATTGGGGGGGATTTATTAATGATCATAAACTTGGGGGTCCATTTTTTTTTTAATTATGGAATGGGGAATATAAAAATTTAACACGAACAAGACAAAAAAAGGCTGTACAAACCAGAAATGGTCAAATGTAACAAAAGCAAGAACAGGGCAAGGGCAAAAGTTTACTTCAATTCCAAAACAAAGTACACATCTGTTTTCATGTATGTTGCACTACACTTCTTCTAATACGTACAACTAGCTTCTTAGCATAGTAGACTACAAATTAACAAAAGTAGTCTTTTTTTTTCTTTTTCTTTTTTTTTTTTTTGAGCTTCTGGAAAGAAAAATAAAAGGAATGAAGAAATAATAATTAGGTAATGGTAGAATGGTCCAAAAAAGAAAAGAAAACAATGATCGAAACCAACACAAAATGGAAGATGCATGGACCACGGTCTATGTGTATATAATAATTATATGATGATCTCTATCTTATTAATATCTTCTGATTCCTACAACAACAAGTTTCAAGGAATAGAGCTCAAAATCGGAAACTGCATCCTCACCAAATGCACCTCTCTACGACAAATACCACCCTATATTATTGTATTCTCTCTCGATCCCCGCTATTCATGGGTTCTTTTTTCTTTTCCTCCCCGTACGTGTGTGTTTAACTATGTAGATGTACAATATTAATTTGACGTCTGAAATTACTGTCCTGACTAATTTTTATTGATCAGATAAAGATGCATTTCTTAAGTGTGATTTGGTGTTTTAGTCATTTGGGGATCGTCTACATGTATTACTGGTATATCGCTCACAAATTTTATACTCCATCTTAAAATTATTGTTTAGTTTGCATTTTTAATTTTAAAATTAGATATGAAAATCTAAACTAGACAGTAATTTCTGGAAGAAGAGGGTATGAAATTCGTTACTATTGAAAAAAAATTTGTATACATCACATTTACACATAGTCCACGGATCTAACCATATATTTTGATTTAGTGTCTATACATATATACTCCCTCTGTCCCAAAATTATTATCCAGTTTCAAATTTCACTTTCAGTATAAGTTTAACTAAAAATGAAATCTCAAATGGGACAATAATTATGGGACGGAGGGAGTATTATTTAGACCTGATGTATCAATTGATACCTAGGTACGAATATGATAGTTAAGTTCGCATTGAAATCAATAGTTAGTACGTGGCAAAACCAATCTCAAAATGGTTAAAATTTGTATCACGACCAATGTTATAAGATACCTCCCTTAATTCTCAACCATTTTTTTTTTTTTACATACATGCAGGAGGCAAAAGCGTGATAATCAAATTAAAATATTGTGTCCGACCATAACATGGCAAGACCAAAGGCTAATGTTTTTTTTTTAAAATTTTTTTATAAGGATATCAAACAACGACTACAAACCAATGCACACACACAAAAAAAGAAAGAAAAAAAAAAGGAAAAACGTTAAATAATTTGTTGACAAAATTCATCTACTTTCCTCTCAAGTGCATTTTCCAATCCCAACCCCTTCCAAACTCCACAACAATTTAATGAACCCCAAAAAATTCATTGGAGTTGATATAGGAACTATAGCACCTAGCTAGATCATTTTATACATCCTGAAACAATCATTAAACATTTTGCTAAAAGCATTTTGTAATGTTATTATATGAACCAATTAAAATTATGTGACCAAGAAGTAATTGGTTCTGCGTAAAATTCCGACTCGATGAACACCTAAACATAAATAGGGAATATTTGTCCACATCGTATACATGTATTATTCGAAGTATTGTAGTGAGTATCTTTTATTCGTAGGAGAGAAGAAAGGTTATATAAAAATTGAGGACCACTTTCGCCTTTAGGCTTTAACAGACAAAATTAAAAGTTGGGATGGCATTTATAGGTATATCCACGTGAACTGCGCGTGATGCATGGCTATGGCTGGCTCCTTTCATTGTGTGTTGATACTGTTGTTAGTTGGTGGTGGAACATTTTAGAGGAGATATATGGAAAAAAGTATCGGTGACAAATGAGAACAAAAATTCGTTTATGATAATTTAAAAATCCCACCAAAAATTGCTATCCTATTTCTATTAAAATTATTGTCCAGTTCGTAATACTAAAAAAAAAATAAGATAATTAATTTAAAACGGAAGAATCTTTTTCTCGTGGTGTATGTATAAGTGAACACTATTCACTTAACTTAAGTTAACAACAAAATGTTAATAGATTATTAGGCGAGGGAATTGCTTAGGAACCTTCTTCATCTTGGAGATCAATACAACTTCGGAAGAAAACAAAAACCCAAAAAAAAAAAAAAAAAAGGATAAACAAAAAAGAGGGGGAAAAAAAGATCCAATTACACAACTTGGCACATTAGTGGTGGAATGAGGAGGAATCAATAAAATCGTTTATCATGCATTTATATAGTGATGAAAATTAGGATTTTGTCCCCTTAAAACTATAGATGAGAAATCAGTCTATCACTTTTAAAACCTTATTCGGTTTATTGTGGAGCAATAAAAGAGGTAGCAACTGTATCATTAGATCATTATATTTTGTGGGTAAGAGATATCATAGTTATATACTCCGCCACAAATTTATTTTTACTGATGGCTCATGTTTATAACCGATGAGAAGAAAATAATTGTGTAAATGATAAATTACCACTAACATCTTATGTAATGGAATATGTTTTCATTAATTTTGCATGGAAATATACAAGTAGTTTCTCTCTTTTACATATGTGATAATGGATCGTTTTATATACATTTTGAGAGAAATTATATTTAGAAGAGGGAAAGAAAAGGAAAAAGGGGAAAAAAAAAAAGAAAAGAAAAGATGATGATGGTCCCATAGAGTATGAGAAGAAAAGGAAGAGATTGGTGGGAAAGGAGTTTTAAATGGGGAGGCTGGTGGTGTGGTTTTAATTAGCATTAGTTGGAAACAATGGACCACCTCATCTCAGGACCCTCCTTCTTCTTCTTCTTCTCTTACACTAGTAATTTTTTTATTTTTTTTATTTTTTTTTGGTTTGGGAACCCCCAAATTTCCACAACACACAATTTTGTGTGACAAAAGGCATCCAATTCTTTCCCTTTTTTAATTTTAACTCTCTCCAAGACCACTCAAAAATTTTACCCCTGACCAGATTGTTAACCCCACAAGACTAACAGAGTAAAAAAAAAAAAGACCATCTGAATTCTGAAAAAGCCTGCTCCAAAACTCCAGTTCTCTTCAGTTCTGGGGATATGTACCCACCACTTCCCAACCAAAGGATCAAAAAGGCCAGCAGTACTTTTGGCTAGATAGGAGACCAGGCTAGGAGAGTTAGGTTTATTATTAGGTTTGCAGAGCGAATTCATGACTGTTTGATGCTTTGATTCCTTTTATTTACACCATCCTTCCTTGAGAATTGGTAAAAACATGAAAGAGATGTTTGATTTGATTTTGGTTCCCTGTAATAATTAATTATTGGCTCTTTTTAAGCTTAGATTAATCATATCATCATCATCATTATCATCCAAATCAAAAAATTTTGATTTTATAAGTGCAATAGTATTGGCGGCTTAATTTGGTATTAAAATATGCAGCAGGCAGACCATATATGTAAGATGGTGATGATGATTTACTTCCTAGTTCTTACAACTACAGAACTACTACTGACCATGGTCCTTCTGTGTCTGCATGGCTACTTTCATGACTTTAAGAATATATAAGTATGTCTTCCATTTATTTATTGTGGTAGGTCTTCCTGGTCCCAATATCCCAATTCCTCTTTGTCCAATCTCCAAATTGTATTATTTTCTTTTTTTTTTTTTTCTGCAACATATTTCATCCGTCTTAAAATTAAAATCCGATTTACGAAACCATTACAACAAACACAACTCTTTTCTTAACGAGCCCTTATTTCAAAGTGCACCATATTTATCACGTACAGAATAATCATTTCTAAACGGAGAAAGCATTATTCATTTATATATATTAAACGATAATCTAAATTATACAAAGATGATATATTACACTTTTTTTTTTCAATTGGTGAAAAGGGTCATGATTCACGAAAAAAATAATTGATGGGTTGAAATTAGATTACTAGGAATAGGAAGTCTAGTAGCTTAAATTAATTAGAGTTACTTCATGTACGAACTATACAGTACGTATATCAAATATAAACCAACTTGACCCACTCTCTTCTCCTCCCTGTTTCCTTGGCCTCACAAAGAAGAAACAAGAGAGAGAGAGAGAGAACACACACAGTCACACAGTGAAGAGAGAGAGCATATATACCAAACAAATGATGATGAACATGGTTCTTCTCTTCTCTCATCAGCATCATCACTCATGAAGATGAAACCCCCTCTGATTTCTCAATCTCATCATCATCATATCCCATCTTCAATTCCTGCAGTGTTTCTCTTTCTTCTTTCCTAGGTTTAATTTACTTCCCTCTCACATCAAACTCTTTCTTGTTGGGTTATTAAGAGGACAGTTCTCAGAAAGAAAAAAAAATAAAAATAAAAAGCATTTCTTGAGCTTAGTGAATAGTGACAGAACGTTCCCCCCAGTTCCCACCATATATCCATCCATCCAATCCAACCATCATATAATTTATATCACAATCCTACGGCCTCACAAAAGTGTTCTTTTTTTTTTTTCTTTCTTCATTGCCTATAGCTAGCTAGAGACTTTGTGTTGAAAGATGGGTTTACTTATACAAAGTTGCAGACAAGTTTTTCTGGGATGATAAACAGATAAAGGTTGAATCTTTTCTCTTTTCCTGCCCAAAAAAAAAAAAACAAGAAGAAAGAAAGCTTTTTTTTAGTACTAGTTGTTCTTGGATTAGGATGCTTTTGAGTCTGGTAAAAATTCAGTAAAGCCCAGAAAGAAAAGAAAGAGAAAAGGAGAAAGTGAAGATCTATAAATGTCTATGGAGTGTATGGCAGCAGCTCCTTCTGGTGGGGAGGAAAAAGCTATGGTGACAACAACAGGATATTGCTATTCTGAAGCTTCGGCTTCTGCTTCTGTTGTTAATAATAATAGCAATAATCCCAATAATATTCAGACTCATGTGGTGAGTTTTGAATCTAATCCAGAGATCTACAACTTGTCAAATGGGATGGAAATGATAGGGTTTCCATCATCCTCATCAACAACAACAGCTACCAAGAATCAATCTTCTGACAACAACAACAATTCTTCTTCTGCTTCAGTTATGTGGAAAGAGTTTTTTGGCAAGGCTGGAAACATTGCTGCTGGTGTTGCATCTTCATCTAAGAGTACTACTTCTGGAAGTGATCATCATCATCATCAATTCTATCATCATCAAGATTTCAGCAAGGCTGCAGATTTCTCAGCCCATGAGACTTTAATGGCTGCGGCTGCACCACATCATCATCATCATCAGTCATCATGGAATCATGATCATAACAGAGCAGCAGCAGTTTCTTCTCTTCTGGATGATCCTTCTTCTCTGAGATCAGTTGTGTTTCCTTGCGAAGGAAATCATGAAAGGCCTAGCCAAGGACTTAGTCTTTCTCTGGGTTCAACAAATCCTTCATCCATTGGGCTACAATCCTTTGAACTCAGACACCATCAAGATGATTTGAGATTTGGTCCTTCTTCTAGCTCTTCCAGATTGAGTACTCTTCAACAACAACAGATGATGTTGCAAGATGGGTTTTTGGGAAAAAGTCATTTGAATAGTAATCTTCTTCCTCCTCCTCATCATCAAGGGGGTCTGTTTCAGATAAGAAATTCAAAGTACTTGGCACCGGCACAAGAGCTTCTGAATGAGTTTTGTAATCTTGGAACCACAAACCAACAAAGTGACCATGATCGAGCATCATCCAAGATGAAACTTCAGAAAACCAATAATCAGGATGATCAAGCAGATAATGCAAGCAATAGTAACTCATCAAAGATGCAATCTTTATACTCCCTTGACCTATTAGAACTCCAAAAGAGAAAAGCCAAGCTCCTTCAAATGCTGGAAGAGGTATATTCAATAACTAACTACTTCTTCTTTCTCAACTGTAGTTCTTTTATAAAATAAAAAAAAACTGTTATAAGGAACAACATATGATTTGACTCATTTGATATCTATATCCTTGAACAATAACTTTGAACTTCATGAACTTGAGTTTTTGAACTAATTATGCGACTTGGTGGATAACTTTCCATTAATGCCCACATGGTGACAATTTGGATTATAACTTCCCCTCCTTCTATTCTGTACATTTACTTGTTGTACTTTAATTTTTTGCCTTCTCTTCAAAGCTGTAATTCTATATAGCTAATTATATGGTCCTAATTCATTTAATTTCAGCAACAAAAACAAAAAGTAATCTTTAGTAGAGGTACAAAAAAAAAACACACACACACACACAGTTGAAAAGTTTTTAAAATTTTTGTTGCACAGGTGGATAGAAGGTACAAGCATTATTGCAACCAAATGAAAGCTGTGGTATCATCATTTGAAGCAGTAGCTGGGAATGGAGCAGCCACAACTTACTCAGCCTTGGCTTCAAAGGCTATGTCAAGGCATTTCAGATGCTTAAGGGATGGAATTGTGGGTCAGATTAAAGCTACTAAGAAGGCTTTAGGGGAGAAAGATACGGTGGTTCCGGGCACAACTCGGGGGGAGACACCGAGGTTAAGGATTCTGGATCAAACGTTAAGGCAACAAAGGGCTTTTCAACAGATGAATATGATGGAAAGCCATCCTTGGAGACCTCAACGTGGCCTTCCTGAAAGAGCTGTTTCTGTTCTTCGTGCTTGGCTCTTTGAACACTTTCTCCACCCGTAAGTATTTCTCTCTTTCTTTCTCTCTTTTTTGATTTGTTTCTTACATTCATTTTTTTTCTTTTGCACTTTAAAATGAAAAGGGCCCCCAAATAAATTGACCAAAACAAAACGAAAAGTGCTAGAAAAATAGAATCCTTCTTGAGTTTTAATGAATGAACACTTCACTTATTAAAAAAATAAATAAAAAAGCACTTCATAAGTTCTAGCTTTCTTTTGAACTCAAATTAGCATGGCATTGAATTTTTGGAAGTATGGTGTAATATATATTCGCTTTTCAAGTAAGAATAGTCAATGGTTTTTCTTTTTTAATTGGTAGACACAAAATCAGCCAGATATTTTTGTTAGTTTCTTGCCACCACCATTTTAGATTCCTATACATCTACCTATATTTGAATATATTTTTGTGCTTGGAATTTTTATTTTGCCCGTCTGCTGTGAATTCTTTTTTTTTTTTTCTCTTCTTGAATTTTGTTTCTTACATATTAAATTATATACACATAATATATTCTGGTCCCATATTCAATTTTTTTCCCTTTCTCTCTCTCATATGAAGATTTGCATATCATTCTGATTACAAAGTAGCTGATGAAATAAGTGTTTTTTTCTCTCAATTTTATTTTTGGTTTGATTTTGTTGTTGTTGTTGTTGTTGTTGTTGTTATTTGCAGGTACCCTAGTGATGTGGATAAACATATTTTAGCCCGTCAAACTGGTCTCTCGAGAAGTCAGGCAAGTCACTTTCTTCTTCTCCTCCTTCTTCTTCTTTATAAATTTATATTGAAATATATTTTATTTATATTCTCTATGGAAAAGAGTGTATGAAATCTTCTTAGAATCTATTAAATTTTGCATCATAATAATAATAATAATATATAAAATGTCTCATGCCAGTTGTTTTCAATGTATCTTGTGCTCAAATGTGTATTAGGTCTTTTGCCCCCATTTTTTTAATAATATGGAGTTTTGTTTTGTATTTCAGGTTTCCAACTGGTTCATTAATGCAAGAGTAAGGTTATGGAAGCCAATGGTGGAAGAAATGTACGTTGAAGAAACTAAGGAATTGGAGACCAATGTGGGGTCCTTGGAAGGTTCCAAATCCTTGGATGATCAAAACCCTCATCACCACCACCATCATCATCATCATCAAGATCAAAAGCCAACTCATGATCAACTTGTCCGGATCGATTCCGAATGTCTGTCATCCATCATTAATAATAACCCTAATGACAATGGAGGCAAAGGTAATGATGATGAACACCACCACCAAAACTTGCAGCAGTTCCAGAGTTTCGGTAGGGTTTCTTCTAATGACGCATTTGGGGCGGTGGAGCTTGACTTTTCATCCTACAATCACCCGAGTTACGGCAGCGGTGGCGGCAGTGCTGGTGGTGGTGCCGGAGGAGGAAGTGGCGGCGGCGGCGGGGTGTCATTGACTTTGGGTTTACAGCAACATGGTGGTGTGAGTTTGGCTTTCTCACCTCATGCAACTCAGAATTCACTGTTTTATTCAAGGGATCAGCTTGAAGATTGCCAAACAGTTCAATACTCATTGTTGGAAAGTGAAGGCCAGAATCTGCCTTATAGGAATTTGATGGGTGCTCAGCTTCTGCATGATTTGGCTGGCTAGCTTAACGTATAATGTGGAAGGATTCTTGTGGATGCATGGCCTTTTGTTGATGCATGGTATATTGAGAGTTGATGGAAATGGAGATATCACAGGTTATAATTAGTCTTTTAGTTTAGTTAATTTGGGGGAAGGTATACAATGGAAAAAATGAAAATGATCATCATGAGTAGCTTAAATTAATGGCAATATACATTTTGAATATTTTTTGCCTGAATGAAATGCACTGCAATTTGGAGTTGCTTTCTTGTTTGGAAGCCTTTAGAAATTGTTAGTGATTTGGTATGATGATGCAAGAATATACAGATCTTTTTATTCTCTCTTTTCTCTCCTTGTTTTGGCATTAGATTCTTTAGTTCCTCATGATTCAATTTGTTTCACATTTTCGGATTTTTTTTACTTTCTAAGATTGAAACCAAGATCTCGAAATTAGTACATTAATCTCGTTCTCTCGAATTCCTCTCTTGGTATATTTCTCTTTAAGTCATTTTCTTTTTTTCTTTTTTTTTTGGTGCACTTTTCTAGTGTTCTCTCTCGCTATACACACAGCAGACTGATTGGATGAAGTTTTGTGGTTCTAATTAGCTTAAATCATAGAGAGAAAGAAAAGAGAGGGGATTGAATTTTGTTGGACATGCTAGCTCATGGAGATATTATTTATTTTTGCTTTTGTTATGTATGCATAATGACAATCAATTTTGGACTGAAAACTTTGGTTTTGTGCTTTTCATTTCCAAAGATCAGGACTACTCAACTACAAATTGCAACAAATCAAAATCACTTCATAATTGTGGTCCTAAAATTATTCCCCCCCTTCTTCACAAAAAAGATGATGATGATGGCGATAAAATTTAGTGCCCAGAAGAAGAAAATTTTGCTCCCATTGGCACCTTTGATGGTCAAAATATGTTGTGCATAACCATTATCTTTGCAGCATGCCACTTTTTTAAGTCATTGCTCCAAAGTTGATTGACTGAGATGTACCTTTTACCTAGTACGTTCATAGGACGACTAACTACTTTTTATTCATAGGATATAGATATATTTATATACATAAATATATAGCTAGGGTTTACAGCCACTATAATTTTCAACCATGCAGAGTTACGTTCATAGATAGATAGTAAGTATTGAATTTCATATCGAAAATGCAGAGTAACGACTTTGTATGAAGTAATTAATAAGTTAAACTGAACTAATTAAAACGACCGAAATTAAGTTGCATTACCTTACTTATTTTGTCAATTCGTAAGAAATTCTAGAAATATCTACAAACTTACCAAATTTGATTGGAAACGGGTATTTTTTTCATCGATATCCTAGTATTCATTTCAGACACAACTGAAAAGACTGAAATGGTGCAACAAAGTTAATTAGTTCAGTTGTCAAAGATTCCTTATGGTGAGGAAGCAATTTTCAAAGTGGCAAAATAGACATTAAGACAAGACTGGAATTTGGTTTAAGGAAAGGTGGGAATTCGATGTTGTTGATGATGATCATCAAACTTTTATCAGGGTTTTGTGAAAGGGTCCGGGGTGGACACACATGACACACAACACATAGTAAATGGGGTGCTGCGCATGAATATCATATGTGTGATGTTCTTTTCTTCTAATTTGGATTCTTTTGACGTGAATAAAATGACAAAGGGAAACTTCGTCCTATATAATTAATTAATCAAAGGCGGTGGTGACATGCAACACATTTTGCTTGATATTTTTTCTCTATTGAAATCCTATATATATGAATGAACAAACAATCGACAAAATCGTTGGATTCTCTCCCACGATATATCTTGGGCAGTTTAGAAGTGATGAAGCTTCTATTTAACTTCTATCTACAATGATTGAAAAGGTATTGACGAAACTTGGTTTTACACCGCCGGCTTGATAGTGGAACTCCGGCTAAGGTCTCCTGCAAACGAGGGCCTCGGGGGTCTCCCGAGGGTAGACATTCCGATACTTAAGTTAGAAAAAGGTTTAAAGAACATATGAGAGTAGTATTGTGTGTTAGAGATAGCGTACCTGTCTTGTGGTGTGACCAATCCTATTTATAGGCATGAAGTTACCTTGAAGGATGCTGAATCCTACTAGGTTTTATGTTCTAGAACCGCCTCTATCAAGTCGGTTGGACCATAGTTGGTTGATGGGCCGGTCTAGTAATCCTCGGTGGATATGGACTCGTCAAGTGTCCCTGTCAAGTATTAGTTATATGAAGTAAATAAGACTTGACACAAAATAAAACTGACCTGGACTCTACCCAAGTTAAGTGGACAAGACATGGCCCATATTGCATCGAGCAGGTCTGACAAAGTAGCTCGCGAGTCAGGATCCGATCCAAGAAGGTAACCCGCCTTAAGATCCCGCCCAAATTATTAAACCGCGTAGCATTAGTGAGCACGTTCCCCAAACAACGGTGTTACCTTTATTGCCTCCTTGAAACTCGCCCGAACTGTCAGATCGTGGGCTGTAATTGTAGTGCATAAAGGCTTTGGATTCCTCCGACTTCACACTTCATTTTTGCTCAGAAAAAAAAGAACTCTTTTCTCCTCCCAAACCCCAGAACTCTAATCAGAAAATCCTCTATAGTGTCTCTGTCTTTAGTTTGCCGGAAGTGTTTACTGCTGCCGAACTGAGAAGAGCTGTGATTAAAGAAGACTTTCTCGACAGTTTCGGGAACGACCTATTCAACTGCCCCATTCTTGCTGGTGTGATAACTCAGTCGATTATCGAAGGTTCTTGGGTGGATAGAATTTGAAAGGAGAGTGGATACTAGTTCCAACAGTAAGTTTTCAGATCTGACCATCTTAGTTTCCTTTGCAGCCTTTTGCTTTTTTGAATTCCAGTGTAGATTGGCATAGATCAAGATTTACTATTATAAGTAGATAATCATGTCTAGGAACTCAGATCTGAAAACCGTTGATGAATTTGCTTCCACCATAAATTCCGATGAAAAAGTAAAAAGTGTAAAAAAGAGGTATGATCTACCCCTAAATTATAGAAACTAGAGCCTCGCTAGGAACCGAGAGGACAAATTCTCCTCCTGAGGGAAGAATTATAATATATGGCCGCTTTATGCATCCAGGGCTAAGATTCCCCCTCCTTCCTCTGTTCGAGGAGATTGTCCAACATTACAAAATTCCCCTTGCTCGTTTTACACTGAATTTGATAACCTTTATTCTCGGGTTCGTGAAAATATGTCAACGAGTAAAGGTGAAACCCCGACTGATTTTGTGGAGGTACTTTTTTCAAGTCGTTGTCCCATCGACACTGTTTCAAGATTGGTATATTGTCAAAAGACGCCTGAGATATGGTGTTAAGAAGATGGTTGAGGTGTACAGTGGTTCACCATAATGGAAGCCTGAATACTTTTTTGTGAAGGCTTCTGAGAAATATTGCGTTGCATGAAACCATAAAGAAGTAGAAGGTCTCGGAATCATAAAGGATGATTGGACCAAGGAGGATGACGAGAGCATCAAGGAGGTGGACGACGATCTTAAGAAAATCCTGAAGCACCCAAAACTCATTAAATGGAGTGATGTGCAACACTATATTCCCCCCTGTTCCGGTCGAGGAGGAAAAAGATACTAATGTCCTTGTTGAGAAAAAAAAAGGTACTAATCTCTGTATATTTCTTTGCTGTTTTTTGGTCATGTCGTCAAACAATGCCTGTTCTCGACTGTATGGTGACGAAGACCCCTTTCCTATTGTGAATTCAGATGAAGAAGAGTCAACTATTGTAGTTGCTGGAGCCAAGAAGAAAAGGAAGAGGCTCATGAAGCTCTCGAAGAAGGAGACAAAAAAGAAGGCGGATGTTGTCGCCTCGAAGTCAACGGCTCAAGGAGAGAATACATGGCTCCTGCAATGGAGAAGACCAGTGCCTCCCTGCAACCGAAAAGGCCCCCACTCCCCAAGTAGAAGTAGACCCAAGCACGAAGGCACCTTCCGTGGACAAAGGGAAGGGCCTGCTCGAGGAGGAAGCAACCATTTTGCCATCCTGTGTGTTCGAGGGAAAACCAATTGTGGCAGTTCATACTTTTGGCGACCCTCCAACCATTGAATGCCCTTGCTGGAAGAGTTTGCTGTACAGCTAATAGCAACCGACAGCGTGAGGCTGGTAAGTACTTTATATCCCTTGAGAATATGTTGGCCAATATCATGCAGACGAACTTTGTTTCATTCGCTAAATTTTACAGATGAGTGCGGCCCCGATGGCATACTTGATGCACTTAAGGAATTTAAAGAAGGAGTTGGTCCAGGCTCGGATCGAGAGGGACCAAGCGCTTATCGAGAAGTGCTCTCGAGGAGAGGAATCAGCAGATACAAGACAAAGAGTAGGAGTTAGACTCTGTGCAGGCTAAATATAATGAATTGGATGAGAAGCTGAGGGCTTTTGCAGATCTGCATATCTCAAGGGAGGACCTCCACAAATGGTGTGTTGCCTTCTGGTTTAGGATGTTATCTTCAGGTGGCATGGCAGCAGCTATCGAGGAGGTCACTTTGGCGGCTACAGGGTATGGAGAACACAGAGTAGTTGTTGCAGGCCTCAAGAGGCTTAGTGGAGACAGGCTCATCAAGGCCAAGTGGTTCATACAGTTCCTAAAAGAGAGCCCGAAGAAACCCATGTATGAGGCATCGGTAAAGGTCCTCATGAAGCTCAGCTGCGAGCAACTGCCTTTATGGGAGGCTCTGTGCGAAGCCCTCGTTAAGATGGGTACTCCTGAAGATATGGCCATGTTTACTGGTGATTCCGCTATAGTCTTGTCCAAGGGCCCAAGCGATGAGGAGCTAATCCCTGAGGTGTCGGACGAGTATATCGGTATCGAGCTCGAGGAAGAAGATGATGATGCTTCGAGGGAAGACATGGCTGATACTGGCAACTCGGGAGTGCAGAAAAACGCTGGAGAGACATCTCCGAGTCATCCCAAGGATGGTTCTGCTAGACAAGATGCTGTATGAACTATTCCCTCTGTAATAGCCGCTAGGGACTTGAACAATCACTTTTGTAAACAATTCAAATTTTTGTTTGTCCTTTAAATGAATGTTATGTTGTCTTGCCTTCTAAGTCTAATTTTGGCCTTTTCATTTTTCTTGAAAACAGGATATTTAGTCGGTTCATCGAATCCATCTCATGATTTTGTTGGAAGAACAATCGAGGGAATATCCTCTATACTCAATGATTAGCGATATTATGAGAAGTCGCGCAGATGTCCAAAGTATCGAGACAGTAGTGAACTTAGAAGTGGACCTTCTCGATGCTATGTGAGCGCGCAACGTAAAAGTCAACCAGCATCTGATTGATGAAATAAAAGAACTCCGTGTGGAAATGCAACGGCGAGATTCTCAAAAAGATAAAGACTTCAGTGATTCTCTAACGTTCGAGACGGACATCCATGATGAGCTGGTTGCTCTGGAACAAGAAAACGCCCGGCTGAAACAGGACAAACATATTAGCGTGTCACCGTGGTTTCTCGAGAAGCATCAAGTCCTTGCTCGAGTGCAGGACATGATCTCAATAAGAACGCGTTGGTTTATTTCGGCGATGGATATGCTGAAGGAAAGAACTCGCGAAGTC